ACAAGGCTCATGTTGAGCTGGACTATCCCATCAAAAGTAAATACAATTAGACTTATTTAAAAGTCRCCACTTCTGTCGCTGTCACTTTTCTTCCAGCCTCAGATTAGCAGTGCTGCAGGAAGGAGGAGATATGCACACACACACTCACAGAGGATCAGCAGTCAGAGAAGCCATCAAAATCATGCCACATCTGTTAACAAAAAGAACCAAAACCAAAAGCACCAAAAAAAAAATCCAAAAATCCTCTGCAGAGCTCACTGTCCTCAGCTTCATCATAACATGATTTTCGTTATAAAAAACCCCAACCTCCACAAAAAAGTCAACATATGCAAATAATACTACACATTAATTTCAGTAGATTCCTTAATGCAATGGAAACATTTTAGAGGTTACCACGTGTAGGTGGTTAAATTTTATCTATGTGCTCTTTAAATTTTGAGTACCATGAAGGTAAAGTTGAGATAGTTCAAATTAGAGTGTAACCATCCTGGTAAAATTAATGTTTCATAGAAAATAAACAGCACTGACTTCATCTGCAGTGCTTAAACAGTGAACATTTGTAAGCCTGCTGTGTGTCTACCTTCAAAAAGTAGACTACAAAAATAGTGACRTGTGAAGACCAAAAGTTTTTCAAATATGCACAGCCACAAACCAGTGAATATTTGGTAACAGCCACATGGCTTGCACATAGCATATCAGACTCTGCTTGTGTCCAGTTTAAAATAAGCCCTTTGATCAAYAAAATTTACTCATGCAAAAAACTGACTCCATATGGACTCAACTGCTGATACTCATTACAWAAATCCTTGAAGAATGGACAATGGAGATTCTGTAACAAGCAACACTCCCACAGAAAAAAAACCCAGATTGAACAAAATGCTTTTAGATTCTAGTTCTTTGCTGTCACAACTGAAAAGACTTGACCAAAAGGCAAAAATAAATATTTTTTCAATATGTAAAATGTATTTTTATATAAAAAAATAACACACAAACCCTTTATTACACACACAGAACCTTCCCTATTCAGAACTCCAGGTTCTCCTCTCTCTCAGCAAGCAGGTTCTGCCCTGGCCCTGTTTCCTTTCAWGGAGTTCACTCTTCACCTTACAGCACTGCAGCCAGAGGGAGACAGRGCAAGGAACACTAATTTCCATCTATTGGCACTGCAGTAAAGCCACCTGACTTAGAGAATCACGGAATTAACGAGGCTGGAAAAGATCTTTGAGATCATTGAGACTTCCTCCTGCTGCTGTTATTCTTAGAGCAAAAAGGGATTTTAAGAAGTTGGATATAAACCTTCAGTGAGAGATARGGATAAATCTGAAAAAGAGGTTTTTTTTTTTTTATCGACATATGCAGTTTTATCCCTTAAAGTAACAGTTCTAGTAGGATTCCACATGCACACAGGTATCTCTCTGTCTCTACACCCAAATTACATACATTGATGCCTCTGCCAGAGCATCTTAATTTGATTTTCATGGTTTTTTGCCTTTCTTATGCTGCTTTGTTTCTCCTCAGTTGTGATCTGGGCCAATTTCCCCCATAGTTTAGATACATAAATACTCATGAAAGACTGAAAAACATTTTGACACTTAACATTGACAAATACCTACTTTCCTGTAACTGTAGTATCAGAATAAATAGGACACACAGGGGCTTCCAACACAGTTTTTATTGCAAAAATGGTGGGCTCATGTGTGCTGCAGACTGTGATTGCTTTGTGCCACATGTATTTCCTGAGCTCTTGGTTTTAGACATGAATATGCCTTTTGTATCATCCTATAGGCACTGCTTTTGAGTTACTGGTTTGTATACATCGTCTGAATTCCTTTCTGCAGTAGTGATTATTCTGAAKAACAACAGAGATTTGCTACGTTAAAAAACCCTCCCGCTCACTCACAAAAAACAGAGCAGCTGTTATAAAAGTAATTGGTTTTCAACCCTCCTTTAATTAAAGAGAATGGTTGGGGAAAAATTATGCCAGAAAGACACAGGAAATCAAAGCAGGACTTCACCAAAGAACTAAGTGTCCTGGAGAAAAATCAACAGCATTTATTCAGATCATTATGATGCAAGAGAGATAAAAACTACCAGGAGAAAAGTCTGACATATTGTGTGAGCAGAACTGATAATTTAAGAATTGTTTGTTTGGTTTGKTTTTTTYGCTTKTAAAGCAGAGTAGCATCCCATTTATAGAACAATAACTGGTTGCTCAATTTCAAATCTCCATCCTTATACTCTACTATAGGAAAATCTCAAGATCTGAGAACTATCCGTTGGAAATTTATCTCTTAGCTTAAAATGTTGGTGGGAACCAACATTTTCTGATCCTTGGTCCCATGCTTTAAAGACGGCCCTTATCCTGGTACACCAAATGCTCCACAAAAAATACAGAACACAGATACCATTACAAAAAACTGGGGGTGAACAGCAGAATTCACAGCTCATTAACGGTAGTACTSCATATACTTGCATCAGAATCCCAAATTTTATCCCATTCATTTTACACGGAAGAAGCAAGCCCCTCCCAACTCTCTCCAAAACAAAATTTTTGATTCAACTCTTTATAAAATTGTTTTTAAGCAAACCACTTTTTCAGAGCTTGTTGGTGTTTCYCTGGTACTGGCCACAGGATTTGTGTCCCACTCGTAAGATGAGCACTGGAATCAGGGACAGCTGCACCACATGGTGTATGAGGGGATCAGAGATTAAATCCTGGTTCTGGGTGACTCCTTTTTTTCTTCTTTTTAAAATGATCAAGGGMCAAATCTATTTTGYACTTCCTCTTACTTAGTGAGTAGASCKAAAGGCACAAAGGTCTTAAGAATCRTCRCTTCTTTTATTTATGAAGGAAAAAATATAGTTAAAACACAAGAAGTAGTTTCAGAATGTTGTTCCTAAACTTATATTTACATAATTGAGTAGAAATTAGATTTTGAAAAAGTTCTTGGAACTTTCACTAACTTAAAGAGGACAGTGGTGCCTTGAATACTAAATTCTGCTCTTCAAAATACCATAAATGGAATGTGTGTGCCTGGGGAATTTGAACCCTGTTACACATAATGCCTTTTCAAATGCAGCTCTATGCCTAACTGGAGATTAGGGAGTTTAACTCTAAACACCATTTGTTTCCAACATTTGGGTCTCAATTATGAATAATTTTTAAAAATAATTAAATATGCACACTGTGATTTATAGGTATTTCTATGAAGATCACCTCATCAGAGGGCGGAATCACTGTTTTGATGCAATTAACTCCAGGCTCTAATTGAGGTACACCGGCAGGCCAGTCTTAGGCATTTCCAAATCTCCCAGGTCTGCATCCTTTACCCTGACTTGTAGTGGAAAGAAAAAAAMCCCAAACATTTCAGCTAGTCTGCATAGTTTACAAGYGTGTAAATACTAGCACAAATGCACAGAAGCAAGCAGTGATTCCTTCCTCTAAAGAATATTCCCTGGAAAGAGCATAAATATATGAAAACTTACATATTTTAAAGTCTGGTAGGAATTCAGGGAAAACTAGGCAAAGTTGTATTTTCCTCCTTTTCTGGCCTTCTRACTAAAACAATCAAGCTGTCTTGGTACCCTGTGCAAGCCCCATATGCACAGAAAAAAACCCAGGACCTCAAACATCATTTATTAAAATCTTATTAGGACTGGCCTTTCTCAAAATCAATGTGATAAACATTTTATTTTTGTTTCACTGCAGATGTAACTTGTCAGGAAAAAGGCCTGGCAATGAGAGATCCTGAGAGAATTTTCAAGAACAAATCATGATGATTACTACAAGTGCTGGTTTTATAATTGCAGGAAAACTTAGAGGTCTCCATTTTACCAACCTGGTATTTTATGTTCTAAATTGTACAGGATTTTTTTTTTCTATTCCATTTTACCATATTGAAGTAAAATATTCTGTGTGTGTGCACGGCAGTTYACACAACTGTACACTTCAGCTAACCTGTTTCTTATAAAAAAATGAAGCAAATAAATAAAACAAATAAAACATGGAAATTTTTAATGACCAYCCAGAAAGAAAACCAGTGGCCCCAGAACAGTCAAAGTCTGTTTATCTAATGGGATGGAAAAAGCGTTTTAATTGGTCATGCATCCAATATCTGCTCTCCTCCCACTTTTGGTACTGAAAATTAACACCAGGGCTACTGAACCATAAAACATCTACTGGAAAATTTAAAATGTCAAAGACATTGTTCAAAACCCTTTCAATRCCTTTTCTTTTTATCCCACTCTGTACCTTGTCAGGTTGAGAGCTGAATTCTTGTTCAGTTAAGGCAAAAAGCCAAAAACCTCATTGTTTGGAATTTGGTTCATCTACACCCAATCAAAACAATMTTTCTGTGGAACACTTATTACAGTAATTGCTAAACAAGCGCCTTTGTTTTGTGGTCCTGGTCCACATTAGTATTCCCGAGTAATAAAACAACAAGAAATGAAYCTTCAAGAAGGAGTTTCATGCAATACCCAGAGACCAAGAGCAGATGCAGGAAATATGGAGTAATCTCCAAATTTAAGTTTACCTGTGGATAGTGTTGAGCTTCTTAACAGCYACAGGTGTGAAATATTTCAACAGATGAAGTGACATTATTGCTGACCAAATTCCATGCTGATATTGTATGGAAATACCTTCTACTTGAGCAAATAAATGTCCATTCACTTTTCATGACACAAACCTCTATATAGCTAAGGAGGTAATGGAAGCTCTGTCCAGGGCTGCTAAGTTTCCAAAGTACTTTTGCAAGACTATTATATACATACACACACATAAGACTTTATTTCTGCAGTCAGTAATAGCTAAAGTTAAACTTCAGGGTGATAAAAATCTTGCTTGGCTTTCAGTGCATTGTGAAAGTTATAGGGCTGCCCATCACTCCCTAATTACCTTCAAGGAGCAATAAATTCTAAATTCCTTAAAACAGCTATACTGTAATTTGTCTGCACTCCCTAAGTGTGGCGCTATGTCACAACTGTCATACATGGATGGATTGTTATAATTTTTTTTACATAAACAAGATTCTCAGTAAAGAAAAAAGACTAATGATCACATTTTCRCCTTTTTCAACGTCACATTACAAACCTTTAGCAGAGCAGAGCAGCTGTGTTTGCACCTGCAATTTATGAGGTAATAGTGATTGTCACAGTGTGTGAAAGTGTGGCCATTGGTACTTACTGGACAATGAAATGTTCAGATCACCTCATGAGTGATACCAAATCTCCTCCAAGTCAATCTTAGTGCTCAAGGCACTAAGTTTTCTTTTGATTTTTAAGAGCAAGATGTTGTGTGTTTGTAAAAGACATATTGCACACAYATTTGTAGTATATTGTGTTTGTACACACAGCAATGGAAACTGTATCTGCAACTGGCAACACATGGTTTTARTGAAACAAGAAAGAACTTACCTGTTTGAAAAAAAGAACATTTGACAAGCTGCACTGACAAACTACTTCCGCACCAGTATTACTGGAGCTTCCACCAGCTTCCCTCCAACTAGAGTGTCCCTGCAAAGCTAGCAATTGGAAGTGACAAGGCTAATATCAGTTCAGCTTGATTTCTACTGCCTACAACTTTAGGATTCACATTTTCAATTTAATATTCACATCCTTAGATCATCCAAGAGCTCAGACAGGTCTGCACAATGAAGCCCCTGCAGCTTCACACGGAGGTGTATCACCAAAAGTTAGTATCATGCCTCTGATTCTGAACATACCGAGGACAACATGTAAGTAGGGAAAATGTATTACTGGAATACAGGGGGAAAAACTGCTTAGAAATCTAATTAGAGAGGAATTGTAGACTGTTACTTAGAAAGCAATACACTGTGTTTACAGCGTGGAAACTTCTGTTTTCCTTAACAAAAGAAAGGGAAAAAGCCTAGAAATTCAGAGTGGATTCTCAATCATAATAACAATCAGCAAACCTGGAGCAAACCCACTTTCTATCACTAGCTCAGCAAGGGAGGCCAACCTAGGAGACAGATTCTCTCAGGCACATCACTGCTCCTGGCTTCCAGAGRACTGGGAATTCACATCATTTGGCTTCTTGGTGCAGGGTTTTAAATCAGAGATTTCTTTTGAAAATTGTTCTAGCTGTACATTTGCTTTTTAAGAGGTACTAAGAAGTAATCTTATTCTGATAGAGTGTGGTTGGTATCCAAGCACCTTCCCAGATACACTGACATCTGCTTGCTGCTTCACAGGACAGAGTTTACACATCAAAACTGAACAACTTGATTTATTTAAAATTCACCTCAAAATGCATTGTGTTTAGTTTCTTTTTTTTTTTTTTTTTTAATGAACATTCAAAGCATCAAAATATTACTAATTTTAAAAGAACCTTTGTTAAGAATAAGATAATTTACATAATGTAGATTGTGGCTGTGAGGGGAGAGAAACAACCGATGGTAGATTAGGCACAATACTAAGGCCAACATGCCAGAAAACAATGCAGCTTTATGCTCAACTTTTAAATGACCTGGACAAAATAAAACAATTGGGCAAGAAAAGGAAACCAACCACTTACTTGAGGGTGTTTGTATAATATAAAAGTGTTAGTAAGTTTTCTATCTAGACCTAACTCATTCATTTATTTAAAGAACTCTATCTTCTTCCAAATAACAAAAAATGTTTCTAAACCAAGGCAGATTATTATTTGGAACTGGCATAGTAAAATAAAGGATCACAGTATACAGAGCTTAAAATCCTGTACCAGGAAAGAGCAACAAGTGGTTTACAAGGGGATCATTTAGGTATATTATCTAATTTTAAAAACAGAGATACAAAACATCAGTTGCATAGGGATTTAAATATAAGGCCAAGCAGGAGATTAAAGTAAAATAGAGCTCATAAGAAGGGCACTATGGTGTCAAAACATAGTATTTCCATTTGAATTAATGTCTAATTCAAAATCACAGTATTTTGCTAGTACTACAAAAAGTGAATGTCAAACTGTCCCATTAATCTTGAACTGAAAACTGACATTAGAACTTCTAAACAGTACAAAACTGAAGCTCATTGTCTAAACCTGATCAGTGTATTAGCACAACAGTGCTTGGTACGTACCTGATTTATATACTCTACCTTCTGTAAATAATAGAAAGGTTATTTCTTGTTAATAAGTGTGAGATCACAATATTACTGCTTGCCATCAGTGGTTTGCAGGCTTACTTGACATTTAATTATTCAGTCTTTGAAAGTGTAAGATCCTACCCTGCAGAATCTTCACCCATTGAACACAGAACACTGTCATTAATAAAATACAATAGAAGTTCCACCACTAACAACTAGCATATAAGCCAGGATTGTAGGTCTAAACCCAGTACAGTTCATTATTATTAACTCACAGCAATTTTTTGTTAGGAAGGTAACYTGTAGACTTCCAAATAATCTTGTGTGTATTAAATATAAACAAGTATGTAACTAACGGTCKTCTCTTGGCATTTCAAGTAGATTATTCAATTGTGAAAGTATTTCTGCAAAATCAAWTTTGAGTTGTTAAAATGAAGTTCAAATATTAATTTCCATATCTACATGTAGCTTAATTAACCTAAAATTGTAAGGAATAGTAGTGTAAGGAAAAAAGAATTCTCCAGATGAATTAGGCATTAAGGTACACTAACTGGGAATACCTGAACCAACATTGTAACTGAAAAAGTGCATAAACATAGTAATACTACAAATGTGTTAACTACTGAACAAAAGGTTTTCTGAAAGCTAAGTGATATTATTTTACATGTTATTTACAGGCTGAGATTTTTCCAGATACCACAGAGCCAATTCATGATCTTAAAATTCCTTTGATATATTCAAAGTGTCCTTTGGCTTCCATCCTGTTCGGTGAAGAACYGACTCCCACCCCGGGGAATCAGGTATTGTACAGCTGAACAACACTGCCATTGTGGTTCTGTGATTCTTCAAAATTCACTTCTTTCCATTCTTTGAAGACCAAGCAGTGTTTTCACTTCACGCTTTTTGTGGGTGTCTCGGACTCCGTAGACTGTCTGCCATCAGTCCACGCCTCCCGCGTGCTCTTCAGGGCCAGCGTTTTCTGCTGGTCCACCACAACGTAATCAACCCTCTCGTCTGCCACGCTGCTGCCCGAGCCACTGCTCTTTTTCTRGGAACAGTGAAAAACAAGTTCAGATCAATTAACAACAAAAAGCAAGCAGATGTCCCAAACAGAGAACAAGCACAGGTTTCTCTGAAAGGTTTCCCACTGTCTCTCTACTGACCATTTGTGAAATGACCATTAAAATGATCTCACCAAAGGCAATTTTAAACTCCTAATGGCAGAACTGCAAGAGCTGAACATCTGCTTACCTTACGAGGTGGGGTAGACTTTCCTGAATCTAGRTCCAGATCTAAATACTCCACTTGTTTATCTCCTTTAGGTTTTACCATAGGGCTGCTTCCTCCATCAAGGCTGTTGCTTCCAAACAAATTCTGAAATCATAATATAAACAACCTCARCTACAAATGTACATGCTAGTGGTCCACATTACCAAATATGCTTATTATATATAAACTACCAAAATGTAAAAGGTTAAAGAAATGACTGAGACTCTTGCAATCACCTAAATCATGCAAATTTCATTGACCCTGTATGGCAAAGGGATACATTTTATTCAAAACTGGGACAGAGTCAAAAGCCAATGGAGGGAAAAACCCCAAATCCACMCCCCCAAGTTTAAGGTTGCCACCAAACCCATCTGTGCCTTCCAYTTAATGTCCCCTTCATATAATGAAATAAAAACAGAGCATGTTTTGTTCTTTTCAAATGTAGTTGTTACATCTCAAATTTAGCATTAATTACAACCTTTTAAAWTTTTTTTAAATTGTTGTCAAACACCTACAATAATTTCAGCTTTACAATAGTGGCAAATCTTAAAATTAAACTATTATGTTTCATTCAAAAGTCACCAAGATTAAACTGAAAATCAAAAAGTATTGTTCAATTGACAAGATCAAAATATTAAGACTTTGGAAAATACGTGTAGGGCTTCCTGAACTGACGTTGCATTGTATATACCTAAATTTCAATTAGCCCAGATTTTTACAACCTCACCTCCTCTGTCCTCTCCCAGCCTGATCCCTGCCTCTTAACAGGTGTTATAGGAACAGTACAATAGAAGGACTCTTCTCTAAAAGATAAAGAAAAAACAGGAAGACAGAGGGCAGCAGTCAGCAAAAAATGAAGAGGAAGGCAGAAGGAAAGACAGAAGGGTAAGGCTGAGAGCAACTTGAAAGAAAAAGCAGAAYATTGCTGATTTTATTAAATAAAACAGAAGTATGACATGTCCGAACAAGATGCTTCAAAGCTGATGACAGAAAAAGATGAAGAAATACASACTCCTTGATAAGATAGAGTTGGAACAAATAAAAATTCTCAAAAACTATTTAATTGTCAGAATTTTAAACAAAGGCCATGAGATACCTTGAAATGTTCTGGTTCTCTAGGAAATAAAATATTTTATGGGTTRAAGTTCAATGGGTTGGGCTTTTTAAATTAAAGTTATCCATTACATCTGTATTGTCCAACTCATTTAATATTAAGTGGTGAYAAGGACAAACACAAACAACTGATAGGACATTCATTTTTGTTGCTCAAATTCTCTAAATAAATTTCTGCATATTAAACACAGAAAAACCAGATTCTRTATCAATGTTTCCAACATAAATTAAAAAAAAAGCTGTTACTCTTTAAACAAAAAAAAATCTGTTATTTCAAACAAAGTAGGCAGGCAGAACATATGCACAAGGAAACAGAAATTTTAAACACAAGCAAATGAAACTGAAAGAAAATCTGTAAAACAACCTTAAAGAAGGACCAGTGCAAGCMAACAGAAGATATTAATGAGCTGGGGCATTAATTGTACCATCTTGGCATTGAAGGTAAGCCCCTGGAACAGCCTTAAGAAGCAACAGACACCCCCAGGCTGAACTGAGATTCCATGCAGGAGAACCGTGGGCATGGGTGGCACTAATCCCTGGTGTAAAATGGGACGTTTCTGGCACCTGTGACACGGGACATGATCCATTACTTACCAATGGCCCTTGTAAGAGAGGGGCTGAGATTTAACATCAGSAGCTCCCCTGTGCTTGGTGCCTTTCTGTGGGAAGCACAACTGCACTGCCAGGCACGGCACAAGGCACGGCTCGGGGCACTCCACAGGCTCTGGAGCCTAAGCCCTGCCACAACTCCCCTGGGATGGGCATGAGGGGCACCTGGGAGGCAGCATCCAGAGGCACCAGTGATGGGCTGCAGGGCAGGGGCACTGGAGGACACTGGGAGGGTATCCAGAGCAGCAGGGGACAGGGAAGCGAAGAGCATTGCAAGAGGAGAGTCCAGGGGCAGGGAGATGGGCCAGCACATGCCGCRTAAGAAAGCAGACACACAAACAGAACAAGAGAGGTGCTAGACAGGCCCTCCCCAAAGAAGGTCTCACATAAATGATTTAAAGATGAAAAGTGCTGCTGTATTCCCTACTAAGAAACCAAATATCTGATTGCGGTGAACCAGATTGGATGAGGCTTTAAATAACCYGRTCTAGTGCAAGGTGTCCTTGCCCATGGCACRGGAGATTGGAATAAYTGGARATTGGATGATCTTTAACTCCCCTTTCAACCCAAACCATTCTATGATTCTATACTGGACATAAAGCTGAGCTCAAGATACAGGTTTTCCTCCACTATTTTATACGTACTCTAAACCACATTTTAATTTAGCTCTAGGTGTAATGCTATTCCCTTGCTTTAAACTACTACTATTGGGTCTTATTTTTCTCTCTCTCTCCTTCCTCACACCAAAGAAAAGCCACAGTGTGTATCATTAACTTTTCCTAACTAGCTGCACTCCATGCTGAGTATCTGAAGCTTCATTATCTGAGAAAATTCTCCCCMAAAGGGGAAAATATACAGATACTCAATACACAAAGGCTCCTTCTATCCTCTTCTTTGAAGGAAGCCTAATAAAATACACATGGTTCAGTTTTCAAAGAATGTATACAACAAATGTGAATCCTTTTTTTCCCCCGTTCCTTCTACACTTCTTGGAAGATGTCCTTTTAATACAGTTGTTTTAAGCATRTCTCAGAGGTCCTAGGACAGTTTATTTCCCTTGATACAGAACTGGTACATAGCCCAAGGATAAGCAATTACAAAAGGGAACAGTTTCTAGGAAAGAGGTAGAAAAAAAGTCATGTCTTGAACTGTTTTATATAATAGATATGTATATCAACCATTCTTTATGCTCTTAACTTTTTCAGTGAAATCCTACCAAAATTACAGCTTTGCTACAGAGATTTTTTTATTGTTAATGTTGATCTAGAAGTATAAAGGGAGTGATGCTGAGTGAAGGATCTGTGTTTGCATGATTTAAAAGTAAGGACTGCACAGGAAGAGAGTAGTTAAGACGTAGATTTTACATACTGGGTCTTCAGTGGACTGATTTGGGTTCATGGATACATAATTCTCTTCACTGTCGTGCGAGTCACTGCTGGAAGTTGTGCTATGAACTGAATCCGGTCTGGGAGACATGGGAAACCTGGAGGAGCTAATTACCAGGAATTATTTTACAAACAATACATCTCGAATATCTTAAACCTCCTGGTAAACAACAAAAATAAGCACATTAGAGCTGAAATTTTCATTCAAGTTTACTAGAGTGTCACAWTTTTTTGTTATACACAGTCCCTTATACTTAATATCAAAAAAATAAAAATTCACGCAGACACACTTGATGTCAATGCACAGATACACACACACACATATACACACTTCCAAAGGAAACTTCAATCTAAACACAAGCTAAAAACATGATACAGATGTACATGTATTTATTAACACACTAGTCAACAAAAATTATTAATCTGAATGAGGAAAAGCCAAGACACTTACTCTCGTGCAAAGCTTCTGGTGATAGGAGATCTAACTGGGGCTTGTAATTCTTCCCATTCAGGCAGAGGTTTTATTTCTAGTGGAGCTGGTTTTGCTGKGTAAGAAACAGACAATCTTAAAGCACAGAACATTCCTAAACAAACTTAAATTTAATAGCTTTTCAGATTCAATACAGAAAACCCCTCTATCTTTCAAACAGTAAACAGTAGTAAGAAAAATGAGATTCTGCTCCATTTTCAGAAAGACATGATATATTAACTTATGTTTTTAATCTTTCCAGGTAATGAAAAGAAACATCAATTAAAAAAAAAAATAAAGTGTAAAATTAAAAAAAAGCCCACTGCAATTTAAGAATTTTGCAGCAAATCCTTGTACACAGTAATTCTGTTTTGAAAAGAGATTCTGAAAGTGGCAGCATCSCGTTCTATCCTTACTCTGCTGCACTGACTTGTTGAGCTGACAAGCACAGRACTGGGTTGATGGGCTGTTTCAGCAGAGCCAGCTCTGGGTACTTTTCTTGGTTCAGGGACCGTTGTTATTATGCAMACTCTGCCCTCGATGTGTGCATGTGCCCTTTCTGGTGAGGTTTCACAGCTCTGAGTGTGGGCAGAACCTGCCGCTAAGGCTAAGGCTGCAAAAGTGAGAAATGACACCAGGAAGAGCCTGGCTCGCTTCAGTCGAGCAGAGCAATGTGCCACTCATGACAGCTAGTACTGCTCTCAAAAAAAATGCCATTTTAAAATTCCATTTTCAGAACAGAACCACAAATAGTCTATTAGTAAGAAACAATTATCCCTCCCTCCAGCTCGGATGTCTCSCCCCTCCAAAGCATTAGAAAAAAAATGAAGTATCAAAAAAATGGGGGGAAAAATATCACAGAGTCAACTTTATCCTCCCTAAAACTGTTTTTAGAAAACAAAATGCAATGTCATTATAACAACAGTCCTTTYGCTTCTTGCCCCACCTCCCACCATGACTTTTCTGCCTCTTGGCAGGTTCAATAAGATCAAGTGTCAGGCAGGTAGTGACAGAACTGAACGTGACAGAGGCAAGATGATACTAAAGCACGACTGACACAAAAAATGACCAGCTTGGCTCAAGTCTTCTGTAAAGGTYTGAGATTGCCTAGCAGTGATGGATGGTGGGCAGGGTGCTGCTGCGGCAGACAGGGCCAGGACTTTGTCCAAAGCCCACTGAGAACAGCAGAAATATTTCACCCAGTTGCAATGGACTTAAAGAACCAAAGATAATAATCAGTGATAATAATAATTCTGTGAGATTTTTAACATTATTCATAATCTTCTCTACTTCTTGTTACTATATAAGGCACCAACTCAGCACCTTCAATAATGCCCATCAAATTAATTGCAATCCTCGTTAAGATGCATAAATAGATGTCTGTACTAGTATATGGTCAGAGGATCAATATTTTGCTTCTTTTCAGGAGACCTAAGTGAACTCTGATTTCACGTTGTTGCCTAACAAAAGTTGTTTCAAGTAACTTGCAAGTTACTATGTACAATTTACAAGTTATTATATATTTGCTTCTAAATCAACAACCAAAAGTCAATCCAAAATGTGAACAGCTATGACTTAAGAGAGCTGGACACTCATGTTAAGGTCAAGGAAAAGTGTCTATGCACTGYTCAAGCCAAAAAGTCTTTTAATTCCTTATACAGGAAACTGATTGCTTGGCACAGAAAATGCATCCAYGACCTTAGACTATAATATAACAGAAGTAAAAAGAATATCCCAGGATAAAGTTATTCTAAAATAACAGTTTTCTTAACTTTTGCTTCACTTATTTTTATAAAGCTCCATATACATACAGTGCTAAAGTACATACCCTTTCTTCTTGTAGTAAAGTCACCTATGGTTTGTGAATCAGTTCGCTCTAAACCATGTGGTTTAGGTCTTAAAATTTTAGGACTTTGACCTAATTGGCAAAAAGAAGACTCTCTTAATAATATTCTATTTGTAAATGGAAAACTGGAATTTTGTAAATAAACATCACAACCCCCTGCAAAAAGGTTAATGCCACAAGCATAAGCAAGCTGCTGAAGGAGATTTTACAGTCTAGCTGGGGCTCACGCTAAGGGCTTAAGCACCAAACCAGAAACAAAGAAAACACTGCATGCAAATAATAAATATATTGGAGGCAAGCATAAAAGATGTACAAAAARGCTAAAAAGTGCATCAACAAATATTGTAACTGATCATTACTACTAACTGGTTTCATCTAAAAAAAAAAATCAAAAATTCCTCAAAAACATTTGAGGAATATCTAGCATGAAAGGAGAACAGTCATTTTTCAGATGCAAGTTGAAGTACCCTCAGAGAAATTAAATCCTCCTTAGTCACAAGATTACTTTGGAAATAATGACTCTTGGGAGTTCTTCTATCCACTGTGCATCTCCCACTTGAGATGTTCCAAGAATCTTTTTCCACAGTGTATTTGTTAAATGAGATGTTCCAAGAATCTTTTTCCACAGTGTATTTGTTAAACTTGTTCCCCAGAAGTCTCCATCTGTCTGTACCAAAAACCACCACTCTGACCCTGCAGACACAGTGGGATTTTTTTTCTCAAAGTTTCCAGCTTGCATAGTGCCCCCCACCAAGGCACAGCCCAGCCTCCACCACAAATGGCATGAAAATACCAATCATCTCCCTRCAGACAGCAGTGCAACTCCCCTCCCAACATGGATGTTCTTTAGCCAGCTTGACCAAACTCTGCAAGTGTTTCAGGTAATATTATTTTAAATAAACGTAATCAATTATGTGTAACAGCCCTGAGCTTTCATCAAAATCTATCTGACAAAGTGTTAATATAAAAAAGGCAAGTACCTTCAAGTGGTACACCAAGAAGCCAAATGAATAAACCAAATGAAAAATTTAAGTCTGATTATGTTAGAAAGCTGCCCTACAGCACAAAAAGGAAAAGGACTGGTACAAACTSAGGTGTGGGCTGGTACTACCAGCAATGGGTGAGAATGCTTTGTAAAAAAKAAACTTGGCAACAAACACCAGAAGTTTGCAAATCTCTACCCCAAGGGTTTTGCATATGAAGTGCTCTATTACTGTTATCACTGAAGTATTGGGAATAATCAAGTAACAACAAGAAAGGTAAACACAAAGGTTTTGTACTCTATCTTAACTTCTACACAGTGCCTCTGAGACACCATGTAGTTAAAAATTATTTATTCACTAGTAGTGCTGCATAGCAACTTCCTTAAAAAGAAAGGGACATAAAATTATTTTGACACAGACAACTTGTTTTTGAATTTCAAAATCAGATGCTCCCTTAAATGGCTCAATGTGCTGATGAAAAGGGTGAGCACTTGGGCAATGCTGACCGAAGACACAGATTGTGAAGTGGAACATGGAGTATTTCTGACTGGAGCCAAGTCAAAAGCACGAGCCAACACGTTGGTGTACTCARTTCTGAGCTGATCCAATATTCTCAAGTCCTTTGCCTCTAACTGTCTGATAAAAGATGCCTTTATAAAAAGACAAGGATCTTAAAATTGATTGAACAAATGCAGAAGGTTTAAATTCAAACACCTTTTATTAAGTACAATTTGACTGAATATCATTACCTGATCAAAATAATTCTGTATTTCTCAAAACACAATTGTATTTGTGTATTTGATTATAAAATTGTATTTTATAATCTGATTTAAAAGATATCTGGCCCAATACAACTCAAGTTAATACGCACTGATGCAGAAGCACAGATCRTAAGCACAGTGAGAAAACCAGCAGAGGTAACAGAGTTAATGAAATTATTCAAGCAGTGTGCACTYTATAACCTCTGCTCTTATAACCAAACAGAAGTGCCTGAAGTGCCTGAAACCCATAATACAGAGATAAGCTCAAGGAACTCAGGGCTGTGACTCATTATTTCTCCTTCTGTTAATGATCCTACGTGGTCTCGTGCAGCCAACATTCCTGAACTGGGATTAGCCCCATTTGTAAAACATGGATATTATACAACTGCCTTACGCTTAATTTAGCACTTACAAACCATCCTGAGATTTTCAGAAGAGCTGTATAAATAAGTACAGGTCACTTTAATATTTCTACATCAGACAAGAACATACAAAACTCAGCAAGTTTTCATCTCTTGCTGCTGGAAGACTGTTCACCCTCAATAAATTAGGTAGCAAAACAGCTTGCTGCTACCAACCAGCCAGAATAATGCAATTCCTTGAGTTTAATGTATCACAGAGAATTAAAATATTTGTGCAGGGTGTTTTCTTTTTCCTCTCGACAAACAAAAAATCCAAAAGGCCTAATCTCYGTTGAGGAGCTTATACTGTGCAACAGGAAAGACCTGACACCAGCCAAAGGAAAATAGGAGGGGGGGATCAAAATCACAAATCTGAGGTATTTGTGTARGTACAAAATTCTTTCACTCTGTTTTATCACATTTAAGAAGATAAAGTGACACGAGCTGGGGCACTGAAAGCTCTTAGTACTCCCTTACTGCCTTCAAAAGACAATTTTCCTCAAGAGCACATCCCTGTATCTCTGAAAYGCAACAAACTGAATAAAATATGGAGGAGAAAGTGATTCCCACCTGTAGAGCAAACCAGTCCTTCACATCTGTTCTATCCACAAATATTCACCAAAGGTAAAGTGTCACAGGGCTGTGTTTCAAATCAGTGTAGTGACAGAAGGGCTCTATGGAGAATCTGGCTCCATACAGCATTCCAACACCAGCAATACTGAGGAACAYATTTCCTGGGGCTCCCACAGGCCCAGATATACCTCATCTCACAAAAAACCAATACTTTTAACTTACACACCTACTATGGGAAAGATAAATCTGGTTAAAGGAAAAAAAGGGTTTCATTTAGGCAATTTATTTTTTTTTTCAAACTGAAAAGGAAATATATGTTGCAACACCACTGGATTCAAACATACAAGGGTAAAAAAAAACCCAAATAAATTATGTCAAGTGAAACCAACCAAACAAGAAGTGAAAATTAGATGTTTTCACTGTTCAGTCAAGTCACCACCTGTGAAATGCAAAATGCTACACCCAGGAGAGAGAAGCTCAGCTTCTGCACGTCCTATCAGACTGTACAAGGGCACTCTGAACTGAAAAATCATGAAYGAAGTCTATTTTTCTAACAAATGGCTGCTTGTACAAACTGCCAGGCAGAGCAGGCGATGATGGCTGTGGCACTGGAGCACACTCAGACCCACGAGTTCTGCTCCTGGCATTTGGGACACATCAATGCTGCCTTTGTCTGCGAAGTCACCAGCAGAAGAGTCCATTTCCCATGTTTGAGTTCATTTCAAACAACACTTTAAACTGAAAAACCTTYTTGGTTTTTGCATTGGCTCTTGTTGTTTTCCATAAAACAGTTGGAATATAATATTGGGGGGGGAAGTGGTCCCACTGCAGCAATTTCCTGCATCAGCGTAGATGGGTCCTAATGTCTTTTGTTTTGAGGACAAAATGCTGAAGAGATTAATCTGTTYTCAGGCTATTGCCTTGAAACATCAGAAATAAACACAATTTCTGTTGAGGAATATTTCTTTCCTGACTGGATGCTTGCTCCATGGCTTGCTGGCAAGGATTTCATGTCAGGAAATTGCAAACATCCTCACAAAAGAGGTCAACTCTTCTATTTAAATACCAGCTATTTCGGGGTTAAAATTTTAAGGTAAATATACTAAGGTGACATAAAATTTGAGAAATGCATGATCTGCCAATGCTGTTTCCTGGCCAACAGGAATAATCCTCATGAGACAAGGAGATCAGACATAGGAATGCTAGAGCAGTGCTGTGCTTGGAATAGGAGGGGGAGAGCAAAAGGAAAAACCAGCCACATAAGTGCACTGCATCCMCACAGAAGTACTTTCAGAGAGAAATAACTAACAGCAGTTTCTCATTTCCATTTTAAAAAAATCACACCTTTCCCCCTTTTATGGCAATTAGAGGAAACTGAAATTTGCACTGAGGTCCAAGAATTCTGATACTCATGATCAGTGTAGAKCCTTCCTTGAAAAACAAGGCTGAAAATCACTGTCTTACTCTCACAGGGTTTATTATTTGGTTTTTGATTCTGCAGAATAAACTCCTGCTCTCCTTCTCTTCCTCACCCCAGTGAACTCTGATTCCAGAGTACATGGTCTTCAACACAGAGCTCTACAAATATTCTGAATTTGCCTTTTCATGTCTGTTTTTCTAAGACTCTTTCCTGCCAAGGTACTTATAATTAGAAACATGTATTTAGTTATACAACATCCAAATGGATTTCCATACTAGTATCCACCAAAAAATAGGGATATTAATAATGTGCTTTGTTCTGGTTGGGGATAAGACATGGATGCTAACCACTATGGTCTCTTTAGGACAATAAAACCAAACTGAAATCMACTCATTCTTCAATGCTATGAAATGTAGAAGGCAGTCACATAAAGAGAGGCTCTCCACTCTTCTTGGACATCTTTAACTACTCCAAATAACTTTCTACACAAACTGGTACTTTGAATGCTCCAGAAATTAAGAATAAATTGGAGAAAAAAAATCTGATTGTGAGGAAGTCCAACTGGATCTGACAGCTATGGTTCACTGGTATTCCTAAAATATTTGCCAAATGCCAAAAACTATTCARAGAATACCAAAGCTATTAATCATCAAAATACTATTTGACTGCTCTAATTTGTGAGTAACTCTACATGTCTGTATTTTAAAAGCCCCCAAAGCATGATGAACTAAAAGCATTCGATAACAAAGACTGTTTAAAATCAAAGTACAGTGTTGTGGAGTGTTTATTGATTAGCAGTGTAATGCTGCASTAAGATTTGTGAAGTCCAAGGGACTTCAAAAACAAAACACAGGAAAAMCCCCAGAATTTAAGTAAAGCTTAACATTAGATCTATAAAAAAACAATGGAATAGCATGACAAAATGTGCATCAAA